CTCTTGATCATCATTGATAATTGTTGGAAGTATTGAGGCTAATCTGTTCGCAAAGATTGTTGCCAAAATTTTTATATCCGTATTCAGTAGTGATATTGGGCGTAGATTTTGTCCTCTATCTGGTGTCTTTCCAGGTTTGGGGAGAGTTGTAATATGGGCTGTCAACATTTCTAATGGAGCCTTTGCTATTAAAACCATAGTTTGGAATGTAGTTAACAAACGGGGAGTATTGCGCTAAATGTTTTATAATATTGATTCAGGAAACCATCTGGACTGGGGAATTCCCCAAGTGGCAAATTTATTTATTTATAAAATATTTTACCAGGAAAGATACATTGAAATTTCTCTAATTTTCAAGTATGTCCTGGGTCCACAAATCATTGCTTTGTTACAATTAGGGTACAATAAAATACAAAACAATATTAATACACAATAAATACAAAATTTAACATAGAACAGACAGGAAATATATAATCAACCATGACAGGTGCATTCTGTTTTGAGGTATGTAGAGAGGGATCTCTTAGAGGACTTTAGGCTTAGGGAAGATTTTAAGTTGTGCGGGAAGATTTTAAATTGTGCGGGAGGTCGTTCCACAATTGCGGTGCTCTGTAGGAGAAGGAGGATCGGGCCACTTTCTTTTTGTATTGAGGTAGACTAAGTAAAGTGTTGGTACTGGATCGGCAGTTATAGGAAGTGGGAACAGCTGAGGAAAGCATTGTTTTCAGGTAGGGTGGTGGTTTCCCAGAAAAGCTCTTAAACACAAGGCTGGAAAGATGAAGGGTGCATCTGGATTCCAGCGACAGCCAGTTTAGTTCTTTTAGCATGTCACAATGGTGAGTCCTGTAATTACATTGTAGCACAAATCGGCAGAACGAGTTATACAATGTGTTGAGTTTATTAATGTGGTATTGCGATGCAGATGCATATTCTACATCCCCATAATCAATGATTGGCATCAGCATTTGCAGTACAATCTTTTCCTTTACTGTAGGGCTTAGGCAGGATTTATTTCTGTACAGGGCACCTAGTTTTGGATAAAGTTTAGATGCAAGCTTTTCTATGTGCAGGCCAAAAGATAGATTGGGGGTCTAACATCATACCCAAGTGTTTGAAAGAGTGGACTGCGGTCATTTGAATTTGTTTTGATGGATAGGTGGGAATTATGTAATTTGTATAGTATCTAATATTTTTTCAGTTAATGAAGCTTGTAATTTATTTTTGTGTTCCTGTGAAAGGAGTGTTAAATCAACTCCAGACAATTTTTTTTAATCTCCTGCTCAGTCAGCTAGTGTAACATTGTGTCTGATTTAAGATTGTAGAGATTTGTATAGTATTCCTCTAATGCACTAACAGTATCTTGAGGATTATATAGTTTTGTGAGTATGTATGGGATCTTAGATTGCATGCTTTTTTGGCGCAATTGGGTTGCTAATAGTTTACCTGCTTTATTTTTCTGAGTATAATATTACATTTTCTGTTTTTTTAATATATGTGCTGTTTTTGACATTGAGAGATAATTAAGTTGTTTGCGGAGTACGTCTATAGTATTTTGTAGAAGGGCAGTGAGCATTATGTAATGCTTGGCAGTGGCATCTCTGAACTCTCATAAGAGTTGGGTATGCTTTTTTTAAAAAGATGCTTGGCTCAAAAAAAAAAAAAAAGACTGCGCATCACTGTTTTATGTGCCTGCCATTTGACAATAGGAGATGTGTCATCCGTGGTGTTCAATGTAAAATAACTGCGTAATCCTGCTTCAATTTTTGCTTTACAAATATTACTCAACAGCATCTCATTAAAACGCCAGGGAGCATGTCCACTAGATGTGAAGCATTCGAAAATTGATGATATGATTGGTGCGTGATCAGACCAAATTAGATCTTTGATGCTACTCTGCTGTATCAAATACCGACCCTGATACTAGTATATGGTGAATTCTAGAGTATGTTTGATATATAGGGGAATAGTAAGTAAATACTCATTCTAAAGTGTGATTTACCGGCCAGGTGTCATAATATCCAAATTCTAGTATTAATTTTGTAAAAGATTTGCATTGTGATTTAAGAGATTTATAACGAGGTGATAATGGCATTTATAGTATGATCGAGAACATGATTGAAATCACCACAAATAATTAAGTTTGTTTGGATAGGTTCAAGTTTAGTTAATACTTTGTGAAGAAAATTTATTTGATGAACATTAGAGCTATACACATTAACAATGGTATACATGATATCATGCACAGCATAATCAGAAATCTTCCCTGATGATAATTAATGGATGTATAGGTTTGCCAGATTTAATTCATTATTTCCACGCTACAAATGATGCAGCTGCCATCAAATGTAATCTAGATTCTGAAAGCCCACACTGGCTTGAGATGGAGGAGGCCAAGATTCTTCCACATCTCATAAAAGGGGTGTTATGGCTGCCCTCACCTCAAAGACTGCGTTTAGCAAATATGTTTCTGTCCACAAAAACTACGATTAAAGCTTGGAATGTTTTGTACAGGAAACTTGGACCCTCTTCATTGTGGTCATGAGAATCTCCCATATCAGTGCTCAAAATAGATATTCCCAATTTTAACACAGATTACTGGTTCTCATTAATCATGCATATTGAACATTTATTTAATTCTAACATACTCATTTTCTCAAATGAAAGCTAAATATGATTTGAACAATTCAGAAGAATTAACGCATGAGAAAATGATTGACTCTGTGATTGATAAGTGTGGCCTTTCCGAACAGGGCCCGAGTGATTATAAACTAAACATGTCTCTTTGAAAGAATTTATTTCTCTGACCCTGCTCGGAAACTGACAATTTCCATATGCTAGGGTTTGTTGACTGGATTGGTGACACAAAAGTTTGAATCGATGACTAAATGGGAAAGTGAATAAGGTAGGGAATACGAGCTGAAAGAATGGTTATATTTTACAGTGTGTGTTACATTTGGAAGCCCACTACAAGATTCTTTACAGATGGTATTTCACTCCCTCCAGGCTTTATACGCTACAACATGGGCGTCCGCAGGAATTTTTCCAGGGGGGGGCATAATTGTAATGACATCCATGCTTAGTACCTTTTTGACAGTGTCATGAAAGGGAAGGGGCATAGCCATTATCACATAAAGCCAGGGTGAATAGCGTTTTCACAACTATGGTGTCAGGAATATATGTTTGTATTCCTGACACTATAGTGTTCCTTTAAGCAAATTAAAGGACCATTCTGGTCACCATAACAACTTCACCTAAATGAAAATGCTATGATGCCAGGAAGCCCCTGGGTGCTCGCTTTCCTTTAAGGGGTTAAATCGCTCTCAAATGGTTTAACCCCAAAGGCTTCCTCCAGCTCCAGGTCGCTCAGTGGTATTTGGCTTCTGAAACAGAGTGTCAGGAAGTGCAGATTGACGTCAGGCATGGGTGCCGCTGATTGGCTAGAGTGGACAGTTGACGCTCTAAGCCAATCGCTAGTTCCCGGTTCATAAAATATTTTTACTTTTTTTATGAATGGGGAGCTACTGATTGGCTTAGAGTGCCAGCTGACCGCTCTAGCCAATCAGCAACACCCCTACCCAACGGCACTCTGTGCTTCCTTACACTCAGTAAATAAAAGTGAACACATTAATACTGATATTTTTTTACCTTTGGAGATGAGAAGGTCCAGCGTTTCCCTGCCTGGCCCAGGTACCAAAGCCTTATGATGTGGTGTCCAGAATAAAGTGGAGGGTTCACTTCATTCGTCCTTCCTGCTCCAATCTCCTTTTCCTCTCCTTCATTTGACAGTCTTTTTTTTAATCTTCTGACACTGTTTTCTATCCTTGGCCCCTTCTGCTATTTTACCTTTCTGCTACTTTCTGCTTATTTTGCACCCTTCTGCTCCTTTCTCATTCTGATCCCTTTCTGCTCCTTTTTCTACTTTATCTTTGTGCTCCTTCCTGTCCCTTTGTGCTCCTTCTCCTACTTTACCTTTGTGCTCCTTCTGATTCTTTCTGCTCCTTTACCTTTGTGCTCCTTCCTGCTCCTTGCAGGCCCTTCCTGCTCATTCTCCTATTTTACGTTTGTGCTCCTTCTGCCCCTTCCAGCTCATTTCTGATCCTTTCTGCTCCTTTTACTTTACCTTTGTTCTGCTTTACCTTCCAGCTCCTTGCTGACCCTTCCTGTTCATTTCTGTTCCTTTGTGCTCCTTCTCCTACTGTTGGGGATAAAATCAGCCTGGGCCCTTTGTGGATGATGGATATTTGCCAACTCATACAGAGCTCTGGAAATTGGAAATGAATAGCAGAGACGTGTTCAATAACCAATTCAAATTGTATTCATACGTCAGTTATATTTATACCCCTTTTTCATAGCAGGATGGGAGTGGGAAAAATGAGCATATGGGCGTGACAATGACATTGTTTTTCACAAGTTATAAACATCTGTTTTTAGTTATAATTCGATGTTACATAATGTATGCATATTGGATAAAACCCAGATGATTACAAATACCGAAATCTTGGACACTTAACAAGGTCATTCCAGAATCCTTATCATGTCATGTCATGTCATGTCATGTAAATAACAAAATCATGTTCCAATAACATTTCCCGTAAATAGATAAGTCATTGTGACATGAGATACAATTCCAAATTTATTCTTGATTCAAATTAACCCTTACATGAACAGTTAGGATATAGAGCAAAATGGATATTCATATCCTACAATTCCTCTCTTTAGATCATATCGTGATCTACCTTATGGAATATCCATGGGAGGTCTGCGGCAGAGAAACGAAAGGAGGTATATTCAGACGTGCTAATCACGTCTGCGGGACTTTCCTTATTTCTTCACCTCGATTTCCCCCATTTGCTCTATGCCGTAGGTTTTCCCTTTAAGAGGAGATCGAGCTGTCGATTTTCAGCTTCTGTAATCATCTGTTGTACACATCTTTTAAGTGTACAAGTTAAATATTTCAAACAGCTGACATCTTAACCAATTTTAAACATACTGCACATCAAGTTATCTGTAACTTGATCCTTGGATCAAAACAGGCAAAGTGTATTATTCCTAACAACGGGAATATTATTATTATAATTCACAACGTAAACACATATAATCAAAAATGGGAATAAAATCTATTTCCCCTCTTTGGACCAGGGTCTTGGATTACCAGTCCACCCAGTGAACTTGGGCCAGGTCAAAAAACCCAGTGGCAAAAACTCATAACTGAGGAAAAAAGCACATCTGGGGAAACTCTAAGTGAGGGCCATGACTGTGTAGACATGTCATCCCCTCACGTTAACAGCATTAGTGACGTATAAAACCTGCACTTGTAAGTAAATAGCTCGGGTATCGGGATTGGGAAACACTTCTTGATTAGTTTGAAAAGTCCCACTTACATATTAAATCATAAAATCATTTCTAATCAGTTTGCAATTCTAGCAATAATCCCAATCATGACCTTGCGTCCTATGCCTCCTAATCAAATCCCTATTTCAATGGTCCAGTCATATCCACACTTAATACATTGGAATCCATCCTTGGTACACTCAACATACATCAATGACACTAATAGTACATCCATGCCTGAGTAAGCTAACACTTCCTCTCTCTCCGGCTAACTCTACAAAAATAAAAATAACAAAATAGTTCAATAGTCCAGCATTAGTGATGTACCGAACGGTTCGCCGGCGAACGGTTCCTGGCGAACATAGCATGTTCGCGTTCGCCACGGCGTGCGAACATATGCGCGGTTCGACCCGCCCCCTATTCGTCATCATTGAGCAAACTTTGACCCTGTACCTCACAGTCAGCAGACACATTCCAGCCAATTAGCAGCACAGCCTCCCTAGTGACCCTCCCACCTACTACATCCATTTTAGATTCATTCTCAAGCTAAAATGCTTAGTAAGTGAAGGAGGGAAAGTGTAGCTGCTGTTCATAAGATAGGGAAAAGCATATTAGGTTAGGATAAGGGTATGCTTTTTGATTTTTTTTCTATCTTAATGTAAATGTACTTAGTTGTTCGCTGCCACTGCTGCCAGCTTCTGTGTCAGGCTCACAGTGCCCATTTCCCCAGTCAGTGCCACCACTTATATCTGGTGTCACAATAGCTTGGATTTAAAACAAAAACCTTTTTTCACTGTTATAGATTGAATAGCAGTCAGTTGTCTGCCACTGCTGCCAGCTTCTGTGTCAGGCTCACAGTGCATACTGTGCCCAGTTCCCCGGTCAGTGCCACCACTTATATCTGGTGTCACAATAGCTTGCATTTAAAACAAAAAACTTTTTTCACTGTTATAGATTGAATAGCAGTCAG